CAGTATAAACTTGAAAGCGGCGTTAGAATTAAAGTTTACTCCAAACAGAAAACTTGAAGCAAGATCTCTGTGGCCCCACGACTCAGGTCATTCTGCTCTTCTTAGCAGTGCCGAGTCAGGGTAGTTCTACCATGAGCTTTTCAAGGAGATTTGAACATACACACCATTGCAACAACATACAGGGTTTTTCCACATCTGAAGCCATTGACTCTAGATCCTTTTCCTCTCTAGCTGGGATAATTCCCCCATTTAAAAAGGCAATTGCAAATCTCTGATATCGATTAACAACGCAAACTGCTGCACAAGCCAGCTCAATACAACAATCAAAACCAAACGTGCATTATTTCTTGTTGCTTAGATTTAACCCAAACCACATGTTCTTGGTTTTCTGAGCCATGCCGACTTCTGTGTACCACTCCTCCCCAATATCATCCTATCGAGATAAGCAAGCAGGCAGCCCTGACTTAAGCCTGTTTGAGATGTTCTTGATGTAATAGCCAGACGTTTAAAAAACCCCACCCAAGCGTCAAGATCACAATGCCAGATTAAGGACACATTCAAGAGCAGACTGACCTGTAGGATGGGAAAATTGGGTGCCTGCTTAAGTCACTGTAATTCAATGGCCAGATGATCTCCCATCATACCATAGTGGAAAGAGTAATGGAAAAAAACAATCAGGTTGAGAGCATTTTCTAAACTCTCTTCTGGTGTAGAAGGAATTTCTGGAGAACTTGGATCAAGACAACCTGATCTTTGACACTTGGAAACAAAAGAGAGGTAGTCCACACAGGGAAAAGAATTCACCCAAGTCATCTCTGGAAATGGAACTTGGACCCCAACACAAAATAAAAGCTCATTTGAGAAGACGGAGCTGTACATTTGGTGCTGTTCTTCTAGACAGACGGCATAAAGTCACATCCATCATCTGAAAAATGAGACCTGCTGATATTCAATGCTTTAGAAAATGTGATCCTGACTCTTTGCTACCATGAAGTTGTAGAAGAAATAAGGCTTTTTATGTCTAATTGTTGTCTGCCCTTTTTGCCCCTACATTGAAACAAATACAAAATCAATTTGCAAAAATACGAAACAAATTAAAGTAGCCTTTTAACAGTTTTGTTCTGGGGATTTTTTTTTTTAATTTTTTAAAACAGAATTTTAAAATCCCCCTCCCCCCCGACAATCTGTAAAGACCAACTTATGTTACCCTAACACATCTGTTTCTCTGCAAGGCAGCTGATGTGGCCAGCTGGTATTCTGTGTATCACAGCAGCAAAACAGTCCGGAGCACTTAAAAGGTCTTGATTTGTCAAATCTTACATTTCTCACTCAGGTAATGCCTCTCACTAAAGCCAGTGCTGCCTGGCAAG